TCCACATCGCGCCACGTGTCCAAGGGACTAGGGGACAACTTTTGAAGCCTTTAACGAACATGTAATATCTGACAAAAAGAATATTTGTGTACATTTCATTCAAGAACAATGGACATGACTAGTGTCAGGATAACGATCATCACTACAAGACAAAAAAGAGGGAACCACATAATCAGCTAAAACAAGAGGAAGATTGCATAACACCCTAGATAACCTCCTTGTATAAATAAAACACCATGACACAATGTAAAACCTACTTGAAAAACCTCTACTCACAAGATATTGTTGAGAAAAACTCTAAGTTAAGAAACTCCTTGTAATATTCTTTTTAAAGTAATATAAACCATACAGAGTAAGAACCTCTATTACAATGGATGAAACCTGATCTTTTAGTTAAGATAAACTACTTACATATTGTCTTTGATCATTTATATTTCCTCAGTTAGCTTAGGATATTCATATTACCTTCCCCCATTTTACAAAAACCTGGGTTTAGGCTGCGTGTTTTTCGAGCACTATCATATATGATTAGGATACTGTTAGACTCATTTATTACATAGATTTGAACAGTCAACCTAATTATGATTAGAATCAACGCTCGTATCTAATAATTTTGTATTTAGTTGATTGATCATACTAAGAGTTAGTAACACTAAACTTAAAAACTGATTCATGTAGCTGAAAAATACAATATTAAATCCTACAAATTCCTCAATTATTCATTGCTAAAGGGGCCTGTAGTGATTATGTAACAACTTCTCAAAATAATAGTAGTGGTTGATCAAACTCATCTTCTAAAGTAGCTTCTTGCCAAGTTGTCCAGCATAAACATGAACTGTCACCTGCTTTCATAAAGGTAATTACAATTGAGCACAAACTAATTTATTTTGGACATATTTTAATATCATGCACACGTTACACTAAATAAACAAGATTGATATATATATATATAATAAAAGTGATTTGTTATGGGGTTATTTTGATTGATCACATGTAAGGTAGGTAGGATTTGGACAGGGAAATTTTAACTCGAATTTAATTCTTGCAATATTTAAGTTGGACTACTATGTTACCGGCTTCAATATGTCTGTCAATCATATCGGGTGAGGCAGGTTCGTATTGAGTCTTAGCAGGTTTGAGTCAAAAAATATTCAATTCATATCTGATTCGTTTATTAATTCGTGTCTAATGAATCGTGTCATATCAAGTTTGTGTGGTGTATGATTCGTGTATAATCAATATATAAACGAGTCGTGTCGTATTTTTTTTTTTTTTTGATTAATTTCACTCATACTTAATTAGTTTATTAATCGTGTCGAATCAACTCGTTTATAAAATAGTGGTTTAAAGAAAATCCAAAACTTCTTATTTTGCATTGTGCCCATTTTGTATCATATTTTAAAAACCTTTGGATATGAAACAACCTCGGCTCAACCCAATACAATATGGGTTTACATAAAAAAATCTACATACACACTATGCATCCAATTAGTTGAAACATTGGGGATGAAGGTTGAGTTGGAGTGGGGGAGTATTAGGGTTGAAGGTGAATTCAGGTTGACTCTGAAGCTTAGTTGAATTCGGGTTAAACAAAACTTTAACCCTCTAATTTCTTCGTGCTGTATTATATTTTGACATTCATAGCCTCAACATTTCAGTGGCCACTGGGTTAGACTGACGTAAATCAGGTGGGCCGTTTTACTGGGCGGGCCAGGAAAAAAGGTCCACAACCATGCCTAATGGGCTCATAGACTGACTTGGACCACAACGTGCGAATGAAAAGATAAGTCCAGTATAAGCAGATCAGAATTAGTGTAATGCATCCCAAAAGTCCAAGTACTATACTCATCAACTCAACATGAAGATATACAAATGTCTGCTCAAGGACCATACATATTCGAATTGAGCTCGGATTTGATTTATTGAAAGAGTATACAAATCTCTCTCTCTCTCTCTCTGCACGCGTGTGTACACAATTATCCCAATATTCCGATTAATTTTTTGAAAAAAATAATTTTAGCATAGTACTAGGCAATTGCCCTATAATAGTGGGGTGGAGTTAGGGGTGGGACTTAGAGTAATGTCTGACAGATGAAAAATTACATATTCTGTACATCAAAATAATTCCCAACATTTGCTGAGAATTGCCATCCCCATCAATGCATAAAGCAGGCTAAAGTTGTGGTCAACATAATCCAACTGGTCCCACTCTAGCTTCATCAAGCTGCCTGTATTTGTTCCTTGCCTTGCAAATGCAAACTTATAATAAAACAATGTTACAAAACTCAAATAAAACCAAAAAAATTATAACTCAAATACATATTATTCTTTAGACGAGTGAATCCCATTAATTTTTTCAGTAGGACCTACTCATCTAAAGAATGATATACATTTGAGTTTTAACTTTTGGATTTCATTAGAATTATGTAGCATTCTCCATTGGGATATCATTCCCAAAACCTACTGAGAAATATATACAGAAGCTGGCCTACATACAGAAGTGCTTACACAGGACATGGTGTTGGCACAACACTGGTTCCAAGATGTCAAGAGACAATAACAAGAATGTCAAAAGCTAAAATGTCCTTTTTTTTTTGTTCATATATTCTCATGGTCCAAGGCCTAATTGATTGCAATCTTCATTATCTAAGGAACAAAGAAGTAGCAGCATGTGATATACAGGGACTCGCATGGCATACTAATCATAATACATATCAAGACCAATATGGTTGGGGCAAATCACAATCAACAGGAGAATTTCTTAAGCATGGACTCTGGCAGAGCATACAAGCTGTTATCAGTACATAATACTCAACTCAACAAAGCTTTGTCCCAAATTTTTTCGGGTCGGCGATAAATTTTTGGTTATGCATGTTCTTATTAAAAGAGAAAATCAAGTTCAAACATGCTTCAGCCACTCAAAGAAGGCCTTTGAGTACAACTGGATGATACAAAACCTTGCAAACCATAACATAACTGAGCATTATATTGCTAAAATCAGGTGTTCTAAATTCACGCAAGACACTTGAAATACTCGTTTGTTGCCAGAAAGCCGGTTAATAAAATAAAAGTATCGCATGCAGCCAAAGAAACCACAAATCACTTGCATATTAAACATATAGAAATTATAAAGAGAAGTACATAATATCGCGACCACAAAAATTGAGAGTTTAGTTACAACAAAATTAGCTCAAGTTTAATTGTCTTGTATGTAAAAACTCAAACTGCCTATTGCTTCTCGAATTATTAAACCCAACAGGATAAGAACTTATATAGATTCAGAGAATTGTGCAAGGGCAAATATAAACACATACGGGCGATGCTCCATGCATCGCTAATCAGCCTGTAGCTAGCCAGTTAGATTATCAGACGATTATTAATACGATTCTGTTTCATTCATTCTCTGTGCAAAACAGTATACCTGTCTTGCACTCCTAGCTGGATAAGGAAATCAGTTTCCCCTGCTCTACATTCCTTACTTCTATAGTTCTATTTCATTCATTCCCCAGTAAATTTGATCATTCAACTTCCCAAACTAGAACATAATAGATAGCTGAATTATTTCAGTAAATAGATTGCGATAAGCTTACTGAGTGGCACATCCTGTCTGCTCTGCAATATCCCAGCCTTGATGTGAGCTTGATTGATGCTATAGACGATACGATACACATTTTGCTCACCAAACACTACCGCATCTCCTGGGAAGAAGCTGCTGCAACTCTCTAGCGATCTAGAGCTTGGCTCCAAGTTTGAAGCAGGCCAAATGACATGCACAACCAGTGATGATGACACCCCCATAATATCCTTGAAAAGCTACCAGGGCTCCTCTTTGACCCAGTAACTCCTATTGGAGTTCCACTTAACTACAGCCATGGGAGAAACAGGCAAAACTAACATGAACTTGGGTAGGCTTGCCACCCCCCTTCCACTCTGGTGTTTCATTGGCAACCAACACTCACCAACAAACTTCAGAAGATTGTTCCGCAGCATGATATCCAAAAGGTGAGATACAAGTAAAATGACATCCTTATTGCTTTAGGTTAGCTAGAATGACATAAAACTAGAGCATGTTTGCAATATCTATAATGGAATGTCGCATGGACTTTAGTAAATTGAAATGTAATCGGCTCCTTGCAGTTTCAAAGATATAAATAAATAAACCAACACGTAGGATAATCTTACAGCTGTATTTTCTGAAATACACCACAGACACATGTCAATAGACCAAAATCACCCATGACTTAAGAGACTTGCTTTGGATCTACCATCTCTGTTATACGTTTTTTTTGATAGTTATTTATTGGAAACTACAGAAAGGTTACCAGCAATCAAATATGATGTCCACCAGAGAGGAATTCTACAACCTTTTCTGGGTAAATTGATGATATGGATCGAACCATTCACCCCATCTCTCCCAATAAACAACACACCAGCACTTCTTCTCTGCGGCAAGAGTTTTAGCAACCCGCATATAATTTCTAAAAGCACTTCAGACAACGTGATAGCAAAGAATGCTATCAGTATCAATCAATTATGTGGCGTGGCATAAATAGACCAATAGTAGAGTCTTCTATGAAAGCGGATGCAACATGGTCGCCGATGACAACCCTAAAAAACATGGACGGGGTGCATTTAATTGATAGTATAGCTGTCATACATTTAACTATTTAAGCATGAAAAACAATATTGAAACTAGATCTCCAGAGGCACTCCAGATGGAATCAGTGAACTGGTGTTTCTCAGAGAAATGGTACTCAGATGAGCATGAATGGAAAATAAAGCTTGCAACTGGTGAACAAATATCCACAGCAAACAATCCAGGAAGTACATAAAACCATATTAGTAAATAAAAGGTACGAACAAACTAAAAGCACATGAGAAGAAAATATGACAATCCCAAATAAAGAATTTCAATCAATAAGCCGGTTAGGATAAAAGAAAAATTCTGATTCATTCTCAATAAATTTAACAAAATCTAAGCAAATTGCCTTAGCAATTCTCTACTTATTCTTCATGGTGACACCAAGCTCACCGGCCACAATCAGTGTGGTCGCCATGCCAAGAAACATCCCATGCTCAACAACACCAGTAAGCCTCAAAATGGCATCACTCGCAGCCTTCAAATCCCCAATATCTTTCTTGAAATACAAATCAATAATATAGTTCCCATTGTCAGTCACAAATGGCTCACCAGTCTCGCTAAAAGTCCTAAGCATTGCAACGCAGCCCGCATCCTTAAACAACAATTTCAGCTTCTGCGCCGTGAATTTCCAACAAAAAGGTACAATTTCAACCGGCATAGCCAACCCACTTCCCCCTAAATGCTTCACCAACTTGGATTCATCCACAATCACTATGAATTTTTTGCAAGCACCCTCAATCATTTTCTCTCTCAGGAGTGACCCACCTCGTCCTTTCACCAAATTCATATACGGGTCTACCTCATCAGCACCATCAATGGCCAAATCAACAACTGGGTGTGTATCAAGATCCGATAATGGAATTCCTAATGACAAAGCCTGTTCATGGGTCATCTTCGAAGTGGGTATTCCTATAATATTCTTCAGAATCCCTTGCTTTAAGAGCTCCCCAATTCGTTCCACAGCGTGTTTCGCAGTCGACCCAGTTCCTAAACCCAATATCATGCCGGACTCAACGAACTCAACGGCCTTATAGGCTGCAACTTTCTTCAATTCGTCTTGGGTTAGAATCACCGGAGGCCGAGATGGTGATGGTGTTGAGACCATCAGAGCAGCCTCAACTGTGGCCTGTTCAGACCCAATAAAAGGAGGGTGTGCAATAGCCATAGTTGACAACACAAATAATCAATATATATGTGTGTATATCTATTATTGAATCAAAACAAAAACTTGGGATTGTTAAAGCTTGGTTGGAAAAAAAAATCAAGAAAAGGGTATGTTAATGTTTAGATAAGCTTTCCCTAGGCTAGAACATTTTAGACCAAGGAAGTAAAGAAGAAGAAGAATAGGGTTTGGCAATGTGAGGAGAACCCAAAAACCATGAAGGTTATATATAGAAAAAGATGGTAAAAGTTAAATGGAAAAGAATTTTCTTTTCTTTTGAAATATCAGAACCTAAAAGCTTTTGGGAAAAGAGAGAGATTTGGGTATAACTGACAAAACATAATCCGACGAGGAAATTGTGTGGTAAGAGGGGCGTGGAGAGAATGTGGACAAAAGAGAAAGGATGGTCAGAGTTTCTTCCCGTGGAGATTGGTTTGGCCTGTTTGATTCTCGGGAAAGTTGGTTATAGGGTTTGATAGGGGTTTGGGTCGCATTTAAACAGAATATGATAGGCAGAGAAAACGCGCAAAAGAATGGTGAGAGAGGGAAACCTCAAAGAAATAAATTAGCACCATATCCGGAAGACTGGAGGTCACATGTCCAGTCCAGATAAAACCAGTGCTTTTTTATTTGTCCGGGTAAGAAATGAAAGAGTTCATATTATTGGGGTTAATTTCATCTTGTCCCAAAAATTATGCCTCTTTTTATAATTTTAAATACTATAATTTGTCCTCGCGGACAAGTAGTTGGTGCATGAAAGTACCATTATATTTTTCATCATTTGTCATTTTTTTCTTTCTTGAGATACTAATTTCATCCCTAAAAAAAATAAGAAAATATAAAAATCAAGAAAAAAAAAATACCAACACAACACAGTACATAACATCAAGTTCGCCTTCACCCCCACCTAAGACCAACACACACTCGTACACATACATAAGTTTGTCTTGCTTGCCATTGTCCCTGTTTTAGTGCGAGTTTTTTTTGGGTCAAAAAATCACTCGTCGCCACATTATCGATCTTGACCAGACCACGAATCGTGACTTGTTCCTACGTTGTTCTCACATAGTGCATTGTTGTTGTCATCTCCTTCTCTTCTCTTGGATCACACCTCTCGGTCTCATTCAACTTTCGCCTCTCATATGCGATAGGGTTTATCTTATTGTATTATTACACTACCTATGACATAGTCTGATGCTAATTACGTCATTTTTTATGGCCTACAATTAATTGCTGGAGTTATTCGTAAAATATTCAAGCTTAAAGGAGATTGCTTGTTAAAATTAAAACATAAAAGGGTGAATAGAAAAGTACCCAAAGTTGAAGGGGTATTTTATAATTAACCCAAAATTATATATTTTAATTCTATACCTTCCAAAAAAAAATTGCATTTTTGTTTTATCAGAAATGGAATAAGAATGTGCCAAAGAGTACTGCCACTGTTATCAATTTTTTTTTTCCAAATTAATATAGAGTGCTAGATTAGTTTATTCCATTAGGTATAAATTGAAATCAATGGATTTTATTATGCCCCAATTATTATTGCTAATAGAGAGTGAATAGGATTCGAAGAGACATGTCACGATGAGTGTGTTTAGATAAGACGATCAGTAGATACATTTTATCTGATTATATTTTTATATTTTTTTATCATATAAATATGGATGAATTTATTGTGTTTAATCACCAACAATAATATATAAAATCTAGTCATTTAATCACCAACAATAATAATCATAGATTTTGGTAATTTTATTATCCTTTTCAAATAATAATAATTACAAATAATGAAGAAGAGTCAGCAGTTTAGCAGTTATTTGTAAGTTCCGCCCTCTCTTGTTAACAAAAAATTAAAAAAGATATATTTAAAAGTCAAATCATTTTGACTCATTTGGTATCGTTAACAATTTTTAATTTTCTAAAAAACGAAAAACAGAATCAAAAAACGAAAAATATTTTTTTCCCGTTTTTAAAAATCGTCCATCGTTTACAAAACAATGACAGAAAAAAAAAAAAAACGGTTATCAAACAAGTTTTTTTTTTTTTGTTTTCTCTAAATATTAAAATAAAAACGAAAAACATAAACGTTACCGAATGAGACTATGAACAACTCTCCAAAAATCACCATTATTATTCCTATTGACATTTAGAGATAGAGATAGACCCAAATTTGACGCCACTTTAACTTCTTTTTTTTTGATTCAAGAGAGAGATAACATAGTTCAAACCCGCGACTATAAAATCTAAGGACGGAAATAATCACCATTGTTCCAACCACTAAACTCCACTTTAAGTTGGGGGAGAGCTGAAAGCTCGTGCACCATGGATGCCAATGGTTCACTATTTTATGTTTTGTCTTATTGAATGGACCATATTCGGACGGAATCAATTGACTCCATATTATTATTATATTAGCAAAGTGGCAAACAAGGCATGGGCCTTGCTTTCATTGCCATTCTCCTCGTATTCCAAACCAACGGTTACCATCCATACCAATACTCATCTGGGAATATAATTTCTTCCACCCCCTTATAGATTACATTATCTTCAAAGATATCCCAACAATTCTTTCTCTTGTATATGTTTCTAAATTCTGCAAGGGCCGTTCATTGAATATAAGATAATATACGGGGATTAATAATAGTGTTTTTTGAATGAAAATGGTCTCGACTATTTATTTATTAGGATCATGAGTGTAACGCAAAAATCGAATGCATATCGCTTTAGAGTACTTGAACTATATAACCGACTTGTTCTAGTTATCTTACCTACATTGTTGCAGATATTATGCCCTCAAATTTCATATACTCCTCCACCATGGTATTGTACTTGACTTGTAATCTTTCATTTTATTCTTAATTCAGAAAGTGATTCTAAATGTTTTCTTGATATAATAGCTTCGTCAATCCCGATGGTAATTAAATGATAATAGCGACGAGCTGTAAATTTAAATATTTTGAATTCAAATTTTGACAATTTCTTGAGATTCGGCTACGAGGAGTTTATCTCTAATGAATGTTTTGGTCTCAACGTGAATGATTTACTTTTAACCGAATCAAAAAAAAAATTAATCGTGATGCACATAAAAAAGAAAAGGTATGATAGCAACGTCTGAGGTGCAGGTAGAAGGATCAAAAAGCAGTGCTTCTCTTTTATCTAATGGGCTAGGAGAGGAGGGTTGAGGAATTTATTTTTGCATATTCCTATATTCTCGAGAAAGTCAATGTTTGGTTCAAACTTTTGATCTTATCCAGGGATCATCTTGTCCGCACCTGTTTTGGAACAAGACGACTGACATGAGTTTTGAAGGTTAATTGACTAGAATTCAGAGATAAAAACCTGAATCACAAGGAAAATTCACGCCTTGGACTCGAAACCAAATTAAATTTAGAAGATCAAACAGTGGAATAGGATATAAACAGGGACGGAGACAAGAATATGTTATTGACCGGACACTTTAATTATAATTTCTAATTTTTTTTCTATCGATACGAATAATATTATACACTTATATTTATTTACATAAGATTTCATATTTCAAAATTGATTAAAATCCATATAGATTTTGCAATTTAAAGTCGTGACTGTTGATCGTCAAAATAATACAGTAAAACAAGATAATAAAATAAGTTAACTTAACATTTGTCGTGTTTTTATTGGAGGAAAAAAGGGTGTGGTACCCTAAAAAAAATCGGTCATATACTTGGACCCAACAGATAAATAAGGTGGTTATAGGGTTTGACGGCACATTCAAGTTCATGAACAACACAATTCTAGGCTCATTGGTACCTTTTGTCTTGTTGTGTGAAGGCTTTGCCTTTTTGAAGTCAATAGTTCAAGCCTCCAATTTAATTGGTGTATAAATTAAGGGATCGGTTCATATACTTAAAATTTACTCTTGTCAAGAACAGACGAGAGATTTCCCCCGTTGCCCAAAAGAACAAGGGTGAAAACCACCTTACGACCAAGAATCAACTTTGTGAATAAAAGGGAAATCCAAGGTTTCTTTGTCTTCTTGGTCCTCAAGGTAAAGGTGAGTGTCAAAGCGTTTCTAAGACTTGGGTTTCCAAAATTTTTTTATGAGTAGGCTTGACCACAAATCAGTCAATCCTCAGGGTTGACAGTTGATTACTCTGCAAAATATTTGAACAGAGGGAGCACGAGGTTGGATAGGGTTCATGCCAACCCGAGCCAGACGCCAGGGATAGAAGCAATTTCTCACCTTAATCTAACCTAATATCGTGTTAGAGGTGTTCAACTCACTCCAATTTAGGCAACAGTGCTACACTGACCAATTTTTCTTAGGTTTTTTTCTCCTTACCAGCAGGGTGTGTACCATTAAATGAGTGTAACACACTGATGAGTGGCTAAGCTGAAATCAACAAAAGAACAACACTAGCTCCTTACATGCTGCTAGCTTGCTATACATTACTGTAGATAAACAGAGTTCCCTTCACAAGAATTCAAAGCCAAGGTACAAATATCATAAAATTGTTGAGCACTATGTCAATGTAACTGAGAAAGACGATCTGTTACCCCTTGTGGTGATGAAAGCAGCACGATAGTGGTTAAAAACTTAAAATATAATGTTTATTTACACAACTATGACGATGTATTAGGACCCAAGGGGTACACAGTTTCCAAACTGAGAGGATCTATGCTTCTTATTCAACTTACCAAGGCTCTCAAGGGAGAATCCACCACCTCAACCGAGCCTCAGATCACTAAACCCTGGGTTCAATAACACGATTCTGTTATTGCTTATTGCCTCTAATCACTATGCCCGTACCTGTGACCATGTCTTCTTTATATCATAGTTACCATGTATGCTATTTCTTACCACATTCATTTATTCCTTTATCTACATGTTCTCTCTTTGTTCTGTTAGTCACATAACTTAGTGAACTTCTTTGGACCATCTAATACATCTTCCCTTCACCTTGTCCTCCAATTACAGTGAACCCCACATGATCATGAACTTCTGTATTTCTATATCTATCTTTATATGTGCAGCCATTCATTTATCTTTAACGGTTACACTAATTTTCAAAGAATCCCCTCTACTGCTCATTTTGTACTTTAACAGGACCTATACATCTTACTAGAATTTCTGTAAATTAAGCTATTACAGGACCATGTAACACTCTAGAAACACTTTTTTCACTTCATCAATGCAAGTTTAATTCTTTAAACAATAGGCTTTTCGATTTTTTGTTTCTCATGGCAATGCATTCAAAGATACCACGTGTATTTCAAAATATTTTTGCTAGCAATCAAATCCACTGTATCCTTGTCCAGGCATTGGAAAACTTACATCCTACATATTTATAGCCCTAATTGCCCATAACCTTTTAAATAAGGGAACTGCACCCTAGTATAGCTTAGAGTTAACTCCTACAACAATGTATACAATTTATCATAATACGAACAATATAGATGGTCATACCTCTTGCTGATATGCCTAGTCAATAAAACAACTATCAAACTAGATCAGCCAAACTTTATTTGCTACGGTTAACGAACATTAGTGCAGTACTTCTCATAGTAATGTACAAGCACAAAGGAAATGTAATGGTAGGATTTGCATTTTCAAACAAGAGGAAAATGACTAATAGGAACTGGTTTTACTGCAACGAAACGAAAAATTTGACCTCCAATTAATTACAACACAAGTATAAGGGTTTTTCTAATTGGATGTAATGCATCCAAGCCAAAACTCTATCATAAGCACAATTGAAAGATTAAACAACAGGCAAAACCTTTACAATGACCGGCCTAGTTCATGTCCATGGCACACCCAAGTACCTGAACAATCTTACAAAATGCGATGGGGCACATCTTGTAGAAAGTCCAGATATTTAATTTTCTGAAAGCAAGGACAAAAGAAGAAAAAATTTCAACCCTTGGCACAACTCCGCAAAGCACTTCAAGCAGTATATCAGCCCATCGTATTCAAGCAATATGCTATACTGAACAAAGAGGTAGCATTGATCTCAGTGAACTTATATGCTACTACATGACCCTGGGGACTTTAAGATAGTTCTTTTGATAGGAATGATAATATTGACATCATGCTAACCACCACAGAGATTTCAGACAAACGCCAAACCTATCAGAGCAATTTAAAGTAGATGAAAACATACAAGGAAAGAGATAACAGTGCAACCAAATGCTGCCAGAAGAGAAGTGCTGAGGACTCGCTAGCCGCATAACCTCTCAAGCTGGCAATTGCTCCCAATAAGATAGCACTTGGCGTCGTGTACTGCAACAAAAGCACAAATCTGTACATCTGATCGCCATGAACTAGAAATTGCAATTTATCAGCCAAGGCCACAATTCCAATCCCCAATAAAGGCAGCATCAACTGTCTTGCCACAATAACACCAATTGTAGTCCGAAACCCAAGGTTAGACTCATTCGGGCCCTCAGCTAGCATGCCTCCAAGAATAAGCATGACGGAGGGAACCATGGCACCCCCTAAAATCTCTAAACTGTCAGTGACGAAAGACAATGGAGCATCATAACCAAAGACAAAAGCTTTTATCTGCGGCACCATCCCAACAATGATGGCTAACAGAGAAGCAATTATTGGGGGTTGAAGTATGTGCTGCAATGGAGTCTGTTCAGCAATAATTCTGATCTTCCTGAACACCCTAGGTTCGGCCAAACACCTAATGGACTCGGGACTGTTTCCATCCGCAGAGTGATCAATGTCGGGAATAGTGGTTTGTGAAGCATTTGAGATGCTTTTAAAGATCTTAGCAATAAATGGTGTCTTGGAATGTTCATTTTCTTTATCTTCAATACCTGGCCATTCAGCTTCTACAAGAAGAGGCTTACTAACATTATCACCCTGCTGTTTTTCCTTGATCTCTATTCCTTCTTCTTCAACAACCTCGTAATATTCCAATGGAGGCTCCATCATGTGGTACACAAGGGTATAAACAAGAATTACAGCAACCCACTGGGCAAAAGATACATAAGCCACCCCTTTCCGATGGCAATCAGGTCCAAAGAAATTATCCTTACTATGACAAACAGAACCAACAATTGCAAGAGGGAGATTTCCAGTATTGCCGAATGCAGTCATGATAATGGTAAATCTGGTGAACTCTGGAGGTGGTCTACATATGATCACAACTAAGATCCCCAAGATGCAACCAATCAATGTACTGACTAATACATTAACGGGGATAAACCACCAGAGAGTGACGTTCTTGAGTGTAATGGATTGACCCAAGTGAATGAAGATAAGGCAGGGTAAGAAAAGGGCAAATACAAGCTTGCTGAGTAGCTTGAAAGTCGCCTTCGGAATGATTTGTGTTTTTGAGTGAGCAAGAAGTAGTCCTATAAGTGTGAGGGAGAGAAGTTTCAGCAATGGCAACACAGCACTTAGTAGATCATCTTCCCTAGACTTCATGTTAGACATCATTTCCTGGACTACTTGCATAGTAATGCAAATAATTCTATCTGCAATCAGCAATGCATAGATTACTCAAATCTGAAAAACTTTCAACCAAAACTAAAGTTCTTAGAACACTAAGGAGAAGTGTTTAATATCCCATTTTGATTCGTTATTAAGATTGTACATTGTAAATTTTTAACAGATGATCTGAAATGTAGCTGAATCAATCAGAATGCAAACAGGGTTTAACAACTTCCATCAAATGCAACAAACATAGCAAGAAAAGAAGTTGGGTTTCACAGATAATTGCAGACTGCAACCAGTTTAACAAACAATACAAGATGAAATTTCAGACTTCACGAACTGTAATAAAATCAACAAGAGGACAACAAAGGCTTGAATAGATTATAAGAACATAAACGAAGAAGGAAAATTGTGGGTTAACAAGAATAATCCAGAATAATAACAGAATTAATTAAAAACAAGGTCTAACAGAAAACCAAGAACAGCAATGCAGCGAAATGGTATAACAGACATTCCCAAATTGTAGTTAAATCAATGCGAATGAGGGATTGATGGGTGCTTCAACAAAGAATCACAAACATAATAAAGTGACATTTATAGACATAATTTCCTATAAATAAGGTTATATGAATCTAAGAATTTACAGAGACGGGTGTAGAAATCTTACAGCCCTCAGATTCAAAAGAGAGAGAAATGTGAGGGAAAAGCTATGAACGCAAAGTTTTCACGAGGGAGTCTTTGTGGTGACGCTAAATATAGCTATACAATCACGTAGGAAGCTTACACTTAGGCTAATACATTATCGTTTTCCAGATGAATAAAAACAGCTTACACGTTCAAGGGAGAATTACAGACTCCTTTAATCACTCAAATTCTTGGCATTTAAAATATTATATAAAAATCCTCTAAAATTTGTATCACATAACACTTAAACTCATATCGTTTAATATATCTATTAATAAATTATATCTAAACTTCTTGAAATTTGTAAACGTATAATACATAGTTCCTTCAAATTTAAAATATTATATTTAATCAACAAATACTCCAATTAAAGATAGAATATTAAATATTTAAAAATTTATAACCAAAATTCATGTTATATTATCACATTTATTGAAATAAAATTAATAATAAAAATCTAATTTTTTGGTAAAAAATTATAATTAATATACAATTATACTATGCATTAAAATTTAATTTGACTGTTTAAACAATCAAATTAAACTACTAAATAATCCAAATTAAAATTAAAAGATATTGTGTCAATTACAGTTTAACCCAATTTCACTTAATGATATAATGCAACATGAATTTTGATTGTTCTATTATGAATGACTTAGATCCCTTAGTTGTATACTAATTGAATTTTTTATATTTAATTTTATTTCAATAAATGATACAATAGAACATAAATTTTGATTGTAAAATTTAAAATATTTAATATTATATCTTTGATTCAAGAATTTTTTTGTCTAAATATAATATTTTAAACTTAAAGGATTTAAATATTATACGCATACAAACATTAAAGAATTTTGATGTAATTTTATTAATAGATATACTAATGGACATTAACGATAAAGATCTAAGTATTACGTTTGTACAGATTTTAAAAGTTTATATATAATATTTTAAATACCAAGAAATGTAAATGATTAAACGATAAACTTTAAGAGTTTGGGTGTAGTTATCTCCCAATATCAATTATCAGTTCTTCTAAGTTAATTGAAAAATGATATATGTAATATATTTTTATTTATTAAATAAAAATATATATTCACAAACAGTCCTATTTTAAAAAATGTAACTAGGCCACTTTCTTCTAATATTTTTTTTGGGTGCTTAAAATAAATATGTAGACAATAATATATATTTGTCGAATAATATTTTCTTTAATATTATACAGTTATCTAAGAAAAAATATTATGATACTTATCTCTTGACAATTTTTTAGAGTTAAATGATGAGAAATTAATTTTTCATGAATATATTTTTTTTATTTTTTATCTTTAATGAGACTAAAATAAATTAGTCAAATTGATTTGAACATTCGTAATTATTAAAACAAAAAATAACTAATAAAATAATAATAAATTCCACTGCATATTTAAAGCGCCGAAAAATAGAATTAGGTACGAAAAGTAGCTTCATAATTAGAGCACCTCTAGCCTAAGAAGCGACTACACATCGAAGGTAGGCAGCTGGCGCGCAAACTTCGTAGTCACAGCACCCCTGCCATCACACTATCCATCAAGCACACATCTGGAGGCGGGTCCCATGAGCGACCTGCTAGTTGCTAGGCCGTACGAGTACTAAATATTCGGTGCAATCTTAATGTGGGTTAGGTTTTTTTTTTCAGTATATATAATATATATTTTCTTAATTTTTTTTATTAACAAATAATATATTATACATTTAAATAAAATTAATTAGATCTCTCACTCGTTAATAATCAATGATACATTAATTTTTTTAAAAAATATATATTAGAAGAGATCTTAATTCCCGTAATACCACATTGTTTTCGATATATTCTATTTGCTAATAAATCTCATTATTTACCGGTTTAAAAACCCCTAATTTTTTAATAAGTATCAATAATTTCATACTTAATAACTCTCACTTTGTTTTACATAGCATTAATCAAATTTATTTGTTAATTTCTAGTTAATTAGTAATCTTACGTGACATAATAATTTTTTTATGCATTCAAATTTGGGTCAATTAAATTTTAATACGGAAAAAAACTATAATTTTTAATCAACTCAAATTTAATACATTTAAATTTAAATCAAATTTTTATCGGCCTGAATTTTAATACTTTAAAAAACTTAGAAAATAGAGGAGGTCTCATTAAAAATATGCCTATTTAAAGAGGCATGGATGAATTTTTTTTTAAAATATATCATGAATAATTTAATAAAATTATATTTTAATTAACACTTTTAATCTGATATAAAGTGTTAGTAAAGATGAAACCTGAAATTCAGAGGCACGAGGTTAGTGGATTCCGGCGGAGATGAGCATTTTTCGCTTTCCGTCGACGATCAAAGCTCTGTGATCCTAGCTCACGTACGAAATCTCCATTAGCAAAGAAGACAAGCACGAAGGGGTAGTTGTGCCATTAAAAAAAATTATAATTAGTTTGGACTTAATAATTTAATTGTTCGAAATAGTTGTCCTTAATAACTTAAAAGATTGTGTTTAGCTTTATTGTCAAAAAAAATTATAAAACTATTCTTGGTTCCAATTTTCAAATGAAATTACGGAGAGGACTTGGTATTGTCTTTAATACCATATAAAAATTAATAATTTTTTAAATACATAATTAATTCAAAAAAATTAGGATTGATTATAAAAATTTTAATTCGTAAAAGGTTAAGTTATAATGTTTTATCAATTTTTTTTTTTTGGATACCATAAGTGTTTGTTGGTATTCCTTGTCATAAAATTAGGAAAAAGAAAATTATTTTATCTCCATAAAGTAAGAAAATGACATATACTTTTCAAAAGAGGAAAAAGAAATTTGAATCTGGGTCTATTGATGTGACATTTATTTGTTGATCATGTTGATATTTAATTAAGTTAAATTTTTGTTTTAACTAAAAAATAAATTATTTATCATGTTTCGCTCAAAAATTTATAACACCATGGAGATATCAAAAAATGCAAGTTATGAATTAAAAAAAAGTTAATTCATTTACACTAAGAAAAATGCATAAAATACAGTTTATGTATAAATGAATTTTGTGATTGGTTTTGGGATACTTGATATGTTTAAAAATTGTTTAAACCAAAATAATGTCATAAGTTCATCAAACAATGAGATTTGACCCCACAGAAGTGTACAAACCATGCACATAAAAAATGATACTTATACATTAAATAAAACAAAGTTATTACATGACATTGTAAAAAATACAGTCTGTCAATAATATGGATGACGTTTAAAACCACATAAGAGGTTAATTGGTTCGTTGTTAATACAACCTATACACCACAAAATACATCGTTAATACATAAATAACAACATAAAATACAAATTTTCAAAATAACTCATACATTTCATAAATCCATAAGTGAAAGTTAAACGTAAACATAGACACAACATATTTAAAGTGGATGATACATTGCTGAAATTGATTGTTTCTTTGTTGGACATGTTCGGCGATCGTGTTCTAGCTACTGGCAAATCCCACAGTGGTTAATTTGCACCATTTTCTTAAAAAATCTATTTTATTGTGTATGTGCAGTATTGTTGGATGTCTTTTACGTCCTCGACGGAACGACCCATTAGGGCATAAAATATGACCATTGGTATCATCCCAATAGTTTTGGTGGTGCAAATGATAAAGTTCATGTGCCAAAGTTGACTCAAATGCTTGGATGCTGTGCGCTGGATCAATTAAATGTCAAGACCTAACATGAAAATGCAAGCAAATGACCATTACATGAGAATAAGACATTTTACAAATTGTAAATTTTCTACAAGTACATCTACAATCATTAATACACACGACATGTGTATTACCCTTCGTTGTGACCACCTCAACAAGTTCTTGTTGCATGTGAAATGGTGTAACATTACACCTGTTTGATTTGATCTAATTAGCTCGCATAAATTCCATTGTATCAGGTGAGAATTCCATCTAGAAAGAGAGTGAGACAGAGAGAAAAAGGGTGGAAGAGACAAAGAGAGAGATACGATGCAAGAGAGACGTTAACTAACCAGAGAGAGAGATAAAATAAGTGAGAGATACGGTGAGAGAGAGACTTGAACTACCCAGAGAGAGAGATAGAAAACTTGAACTACCCAAAGAGGGAGAGACGCAAAGAGAGACAGAGAGATAAGTGTAGACAGAGACTTGAACTACCTAGAGAGAGATACAAAGAGTAAGGACTTTACTATCCCGAGAGAGAGAGAGAGAGAGAAGGTGAGAGAGAGAAACTTGAACTACCCAGAGAGAAAGAGAGAGACAGAGACATAGAAAGACTTGAACTACCAAGAGAGAAAAAAAATAGATACAGAGAGATAGAG